GGGGATTCGAACCCGCCACCTTAGGTGTATGTGGCTGGCGCCTTAGCTGTTTGAGCCACAGGCGCCAAGCCTCTCCATCTTTATAGTTTCTGGTAATTTGCTTCCAACAAGAGAAGCAAGCTGGATGTGAGTCTAGGCTGTTACTATACCCGACGCCCTCACACCACTGGGCCCCACACCCGTCCTCAGCCAGGTCAGCAGCTCCCTACTAGGAAGCAAGAGCTCAAGGACTATAGAATGCTCAGAGAAAGAAGACAAAGTCCAACTTGTGAGGAGCTTGGGCAAAATCACAGTATCAGAAAAACTTCTGTGCTGAAAGGTCCTCAGGGGAGGTGTGTCCCATAGGAAACGAATTGCCTGGCATCAGCAGATGGGGCCTCACCTGCTGCTGTGAGGCCTGGGGTAAACCATTAGCCTCTCTGAACTGGTTTCCTCACCTGAGAAAAGGGGAGAATAGTTCTTGCCTCTAGAACTTTGTCAATGAATTCACATTTGGCCCTCAAGGCCCTGTGTGACTGGACCCCCATCAAGGCTCCTGTGACTCTTCCTGCTTCACCTCACACTCCCTCCCTCCTTCTCCCGCCTCACCACCTCTGTGTCCAGCTGAATTTCCACTGCAGTGCCTTTGCATGTGCTCTTCCATCAGGTTCCTGCATGCCATGTTCCCCCTTCCTTCCATCTCCCTCACTGAGCAGAATTGCTATTGCATAACCCGGTCTCGCCATTTTACAGATTGGCCAGGGCAGGTGGGGAGATGGTGGTGCTATGCTCTCCAGAGGGGCAGTGTTTTGCCTGTGTCCCAGGCCAGTAGGTGGCAGAGGCCATGTGGACACTTCCTTTCAGGCAGCTGTCCCTCACTCTCTCAGCAGGACCAAAGTGATTTTCCTGCTTGGCTTAGCTGTTGCTAGCTAGAAGGCTGGCTGCCAGAGGCTTGGAGGCACTACACTCCCTGGGAGACATATTCCTGAGGGCCTAAGAAGGAATATGTCACATTCCCTGGGGACCCTTCTCAGAGGGGACGCTCAGAAACTGCTGAGCCTGGTAAGAGATGAGAAAGCAGTGGCTCTCAGTTCCCCTTTGTGCCCTGCTCCTGGCACATCTCCTGACCTCATGTGGGCTACGCACTGAGAATGAGGGCTGGACACTAGTGGCCAGGGCGAAGCTGGTGCAGTACTGGGGTACTGAGAGACAGGGCCTGGGGCTGGGGGGCAGCAGCACCTTGGCTGGGAAGGGGGTGGGAGGAGGCAGTCTCAGGGAGACTCCCTCCTCCCTGGGAGTGAGCCCTGCCAAGATGGCTTCTGGCTCTGGCCCCACAGCATGCTGCTGCTGCTGTTGCTGCTGGTCTGGAGACGGCACCTTGAGAACCACTGTGTGAGTGCAACAGGCTTTTTAGTTAAGGATGGCACTCCCCAGCTTCCTCTGCAGCTGGGTGCATGCCTGTGTCTAGGATCTGGCTGGTGGGATGAGAGCAGAAGTGACGCATGCAGCCTTAGAAGGGGAGGAGCAGGTTGTCTCCTTCCGCTCTCCCCTTCCTGCTGCTGGTGAAGAGCCCAAGCAGCCATCTCAGACCAGGAGATGGAGGCTGCATGCTGAGGATGGTGGAGCTAAAAGACAAAAGGAGGGTGGGTCCCAGCCTAGTGGACAGGCCACCTCAGCCCTGCTTCTATCAGCTTGACTGCTGCCAGAGGACTCCTCTCCTGCTCCAGCCACTGCTGCTGTGGTTTCCCTAGCAGGCCAATTTTGCCCCACGACCAACTTTGAACAGTCAGCTCAGGATAGAGGGTTGGGGTAGGGTGGGGGTAGAAGAGGAGGTAGTGACTGGGCCAGGCCCTGGTTCTGACTGGGATGAGGCCATCTGGAGGCAGGTGCTGGCAGCGCCCACCCCGCCCAAGGCTCTGCTTCCCATGTGCTCACTGGCAGGGCTGACTGGCTCCTTCACTCACAGCAGGACTGCTGCCTTCCTGCCCCTAGGACCCCTGCCCTGGCCCCTACCTATTTTGTTCCTGGAGGCCCCTCTCTGCAAGGCCGATGCCCTCCCCGGCTCCAGGCGCATCTTCTCCAGATGTTGCTCCAATAGCACGGTGCGGTGCCGTTCCTCCTGCAGCTTCCTCCCCGCCTCTAGGAGCTTGCTGTTGCTCTCCTCCACCCTGGTGATGAAAGGGCAGGGATGCCAGACCCGAGGCAGGGCAGACGGTGCAACCCCCCACCGCGCACCACTCAGGCTTTCAGAGAGGTGGGCACGTGTTATGTTGGTGGTGATGGGACTTATTCCTCTTTATTTTTATTGCAGTAATACAGGGACATACATTTACAAATCATATAGTTCTCTCTACGGTTAAAATGACAAAATTGGCAGTCCCTTCCCAGCCCCATCACTCTAATTCCTATACTCCAGAAGTAATCACTTGGACACTTTTAGCTGTTTCTTTTAATATTTACTGCCATGTTTCTATAGATGCTTACACTGCTTTTTTTAAAGGTTTAAATATAATCTTTTAACTTCCTGTCATGCAAAATGAGAATTTAGTTTATTTTAGTACTCTCCCCCTACCAAGCAGAATTACCCTTACACTTTTTTTTTTGCCTGACTTGATTGGTATTAGGTAGCGTGTCAGTTTTCCATCACAGCTATAACAAATCACCACAAAAACCAAACCAAAACAAAAAAATCACCACAAATTTACCTGCTGAAAACAACACAAATCTATTATCTCACAGATCTCTAACAGGCTCAGGTGGTTTCTGTGCTCCAAGTTCCACAAGCTGACATAAAGGTGCTGGCTGACCTGGGCTCTCATCTGGAAATTCTGGGGAGAATTCACTTCCAGGCCCAGTCAGGTGTTGGGCCAATCCAGTTCTAGATAGCTGTCAGACTGCAGTCCCTGCGTCCTGCTGGCTGTTGGTCAATTTCAGCACCTAGAGGGCCCCTTGCCTCCTCCATCTTCAAAGCCAAGTTGGATACCCTTAGAGTGCACTGACTCTCTCTGCCCTCTGTGACTTCTTCCATAAGCATCTCTCTGACTGACTCCAGATGGAGAAATTCTCTGCTTCTAAGGGCTCAAGTGATTAGATTGAACCCATCCAATAATCCAGGATAATCTTCCTATTTTAGGGTCCATAAAAGTAATTATCTGTAAAATCCCTTTGCCATGTAGCATAAAGCATTGACAGGCAGAACAGCAGGGAGCAAAGGGTGTGGTTACCAAAATCCTGTGTACTGCAGGGAGTAAATTAGGAGCCAAACACATAGCACACTAATGATCACGCTTCCCTTCTTATCTAATTGTTTTTACTGGAATGGGTACATGCTCTATGCTTATCATTTTGTTTTGTATATGCCTGTCACAATTCATGGGCCTTAAAGCTCTTGTCATGCAGTCATCTCACTGGGGCTTGTGTATTGGTCTTTCCTGTGGGTAGGTATGGCGCATCAGACCTCTGCAGTACTAAAGGCTCAGCTGAGAGGCCAAGGCACCTTGAGATCTAACTCAGGATCCAACTCAGCCCAGGGTTATACACACACCTGCATGTCAGAGGGGTGTGACATGACAGTGTTTAAGGAAGTGGTCTTCCTATCTTGGTGACGGGTCAAAAGGAACAGAATGGCAATTTTAAACAATATACAACCACTGACACAAAACTGTATACTAACATAGTGTACAGCTACTAACAACACATTTAAGCATGTTCCTTAAAAATTTATTTGCAAAAGCAAAAGCCCCAAATAACTGAAGGCCCATCAATAGGGGAAAGACAAATCAGTGGTGACATTTTCATACTATGGAGTATGATAGAATGTGACACAGCTCTGCTGTCCAAGACAGTGGCTATGTGTCCACATGTAGCTATTAAAATTAAAGTTCATGAAATAAATAACATAAAAATTCAGTTCCTCATTCCCACTAGCCACATTTCAAGTTCTCAAAAGCCACACATGGCTAATGGCTACCAGATTCGTCAGTAAAGATATAGAAATCTCCATCACCGCCGAAAGGTTTGCTGGACGGCACCACCCTAGCAGCGAGAAGAATGGAGTAGAGCCATAGGTACAAACATGGATAATCTCCACGCCATGGATTGGTGAAAAGAAGCAAATGCCGTAAGAATAGATACAATACAGTGCTTTTATGTGAAAAAATAATGAAATAAAATTTCCATGCCTGCCTGTTTACATCTGTAAATGCATGAACTGTCTTAGAAGGCTGCACCTGGATGATAGGGTGAAGTGGGGTAAGGAGCAAACCCTGGCAGTCACACCCCATTTAGCCTACCTGTTGTTTGAAATGGTAACAGGGAGACTCTGGTCCTGTATCTGTATCAACAGAACTTTATAAAACTGAGGCACTGTCTGTCGGTGAGTTGTCAGTTGGAGTCCAGTGAGTGGTGAGAGTGAGTGATCAGCCCAGCCTGTTCAAAGGAAGGTGGCTAAAGCCATTCAAAGTGACTGAGCAGTGATCGCCCTTGGAGCTGATATCCTGGACCCCAATGCTCAGCCTCCCCAAAAATGTACCACATGAGGGGACTTACTCGATTGCCTGGTCCTGCCTATTTCCTTCTGAGGCTAGATGGGGGAGAGGGGTATGAATATTTCTTATCCACCACTTCCCTGCTTAAAATACTCTTGGCCTCCACAGTTCTCATGGAGAATGACCTCTTGGCTGTGATCCTTCCTCAGGGAGTTCCAATCCTGAGAGAAGAGCACACTACTCCATCATTCATGAAACATGTCCTGACTGCTCACATGTTCCAGGCACTGTTCTAGTGTCCATTCTCATGGATCTTTCTGACTTGCAGGAGAGAAAAACAATTAAGAAAAAAATATCCCATAAGGATAGGATAGGAGCTATGTGGACAATAAAGCACATAGGAAGGAGATAGTGTGTGAAGGAGTGATGTTATTTTGAATGGAGATTGCCCATCACTGTTACCTGCCATCTGCTGCTACCAATGACTCTGAAGGTCAGAACCCCTAGGGACAGAGGGAGCCCATACCTGTGACTGGGACTGGCAGATCCAGGAGTATAAAGAGTAGACAAACAGCTGACTGGCAAACTGCTGGGCACTTCAGGGGAACCAGTAGCTTAAAAGAGGGCCCAGGCTAAAAACCAGAGCGGGTGTCTCCCTGTTGACACAGATTTGGCAGAAAAGAAAACTCTTGCAAGCACTGGAGTGAATTCTTAAAGAGATTTGGAAAAATATTGTAAGAAAGCTAACTGTGAGAAAGAGCTCTTAGAAATATATATTTTTAAAAGAGCATTTCTGAATTTAATCATCAGAAGCACTGAAAAATAAAATGGTCCCTGGTGAAACTCAAGTCAATGATCTCGAAGATAAAACTGTGGGAATTACCCCGGAACATAGAGTGAAAATAACCCAAAGAAATGTTAGCTATTAGTGAACGAACAAGTAAAAGAATAAAGGGTCATGGCATCTAATATCCAAATAATATCAATTCAAGAAAGAGAAGGGGAAAGTAGATGAGAAGCACTAATGAGAAAATAAAAAAATTTCTGTGAGCTATAGAAAGACCTGAGTTTTTCAGACTGACAGAGCTCAATGAGTACCAGGTAGGATTATAAAAAGGAATACCCTGCTACATTGACTTAGCGTCTATAGTTTAGCAGCTAGGGCGCCAGCCACATACACCAAAGCTGGCGGGTTTGAATCCAGCCTGGGCCCGCCAAAGAACGATGACAACTACAACCAAAAAATAGCCAGGTGTTGTGGCGGGCGTCCATAGTCCCAGCTACTTGGGAGGCTGAGGCAAGAAAATCGCTTAAGCCCAAGAGTTGGAGGTTGCTGTGAGC